CCAAATTTGCAGATATGTCTCTCACGGATTTTCCTTACAGACAGGTCTCTCGGTTAGCCCTCAGCCAAACAAAATTACAAGTCTATCCCTAACACTGTACTGTACAGCCTCACAGTCAAAACCTAGCAGTCAAATCAGCAAGTCATTGCACTGTTTTGTTTGCCATGGTTCCTCTTCCTCGTCTTTTGCCTCCTCCTCCATGTCCTTTTTCTCTATGTCATCCTTCTCCATTTCAGCTCCTCCTCTTCATCCTTCTGCCGCGGATGCCAATATCGCTCAGCCTCCGGGAGATTGCAGGCAAGGCCATCATCACACTTGCACAGGGATTAGGAAGACTACATGGGTTTTCGTATTTTTGTTCCTACTTTTGAACTTTTCCGTCTTTTTTCTTTATCTGATCCTCTCCTCCACTTCATCCTTCTGCCTTGGATGCAAATGTCCCTCAGCCTCAGGAGATTGCAGGAAAGACCTCATCACATTTGCACTGAGGCTAGAAGAACTACACGGTTTTTCATGTTTTCGTCGCTGTCCTCTACATTCACCTCCTGCTGCAGATCCGGCTTCCTGGCGGTACAGGTCCACACACACACATAGAGAGGTTGTAAACCCAAGAAACCTGCTCAATGCCGCTTTGCGATGACCCACCTGAGATGGGCATCATGCCCGGGTGACCGGCCCGGTCATGAAAATTTTCCTAGCGTGAAAGTGCATTTTTCCCTTGCAGTTTTATAGGGTTTTTCGACTTTTTTGTATCGTCTCTTTTCTTTTTTTTTGCGGTTAGTTAATATGGTGTCCACTCTATCATTTGGTGGCAAGCAAGGGGTCTGTTATAAATGGTGTGGCAAATTGTCTGAATATTTAGGCCTCTGTTATCCATCTCTCGCTTTAGTTTGATTTTTCTGGTCTTTTTTTTTTTTTTTGAACCTGTGGATTAACAAGGAATGTTTTCATTGCCGCTAACGCCACTGCAATCATACAATGCCATCAATTTGTGTTGGTTGCTGTGGGCAGATCCGGGTTGCACATCCAAGCGTCCCCTCTACACGAATTGCAGCGCGCCTTCCGTCTTTGGGATTTCATTTTTCGCCTGCACGTTATCATCGCCTCATGCAAATTATGGCAGTCTTGGGCTCTGATGACAAGCCAAAGGGTCCTTCAGCAGCTCTTGGAGCTTTGCCCTGGCTACCTCCATCTTTCTCTGGCTACGTACAAGTCCTTCAGTGGGAGGTGCGGCTTGCTCTGTTTTATACCAGATGGGAGTTAAATCCAATTTTGTGATGGTTGAAAACTTGAAGCTGTTTGCAAGCCAGATGGGATTTTAATCAAGAACAGAGAGGACTAGGATGCGTCAAACTGTTTGCAACGGAATTATGGAGTTTCGTGCCAATACTGTGCTCCCCAATCGCCTAGCTCAGGAGCTGTGTTGTACAGTCACACAAGAGGAGATAGTCTAGTCACAGGAGATGATCAGAAAAGAGATGTATATGGTCCAGAGAGTCACCCTCGTCCTGTCACCAGATCCCTATGTGTAACCTAATTGCACGCAATGAACCTTTGTGGAGATGATCAGAGAGTAGAGATCTATACAGTCCAGAGAGTTCACCCTGGTCCTGTCACCGAATCCATAAGTTTTTTTTTTTTTTTTTTTCCCTTACAAAACACAAGGCTCCAATCTACTCATGGGGAACACTTTTCAGCCGTTCAATGGGCCAAAACTTGACTTCACAGTATTCCTGACTGATCCGGTGTGGTGGGTTGCAGGGAATAAGCAAGACAACAGCTTGCTGGGAGCGGCGCTATGCAGTGTTAAGTGGAGCTTATCTTTACATTCTGCAGTCCGAGAACTCTCGTACATACCTGCGCTACACAAGGCAAGGATTAGAAAAGTGCTTTCTCCCCAAGTACAGGCTTCTTGTCTTCTTATATCCCACTCAGGCTATTTTCCCCCCCTCCTCGTAACAGTACTGATCAGCAAAGGATGGATTTATTGTGTGTGTACATGCTGAGAACCCTTCATTTCTTATAACTGTGAATCTTTGAGCCGATGTTGTTTTCATGTTTCAGTATTTTTTTTTCTCTCATTTCTTCAGGTTTCTTGGTTTTAGTGGCTGTTACGATCCTGGCCACTTTTGAAGTCCACAATCATCAGAAAGTACAATGTTGTCCAATTGTGAAAAGAAATGAATGAACTTGAGCCCAATGCCGTCCAATTGCAAAAGAAATGAAAGAACGTGAGAGGAGAGAGAGGGAAAGAAGAAGAAGAAGAATTAAGAAAGAAGAAAGAGATGATGTACTCCAGCATAGRCCAAMGACAAAGCTCTTCTTCTTCGCTCAACAACCTCCTCCTCTTTATCTCCTCCTCTCTTATTCAAACAATAATAAACAATAATAATGTTGAACAGCTGAACCAGAATCAATGTCCGAATCCCACTTCTACTGCAGGCACAAGATGAGGTCCACCATAGCCATGGCAGCCCTTCTTCTTCCTTTACATGCAGGCCAAGGCTATGGCGGACTACTGAGGTCTCAACCTCCGGTACAAAGTACAACCCCAAGCAGCTACACCGCTGCCCTTCTTCTAGGTCATCACCCAGCAGCTATGCCGCTGCCCACTCAACCGCCATGCCTGACTCTGTCCGAGCTTCCTTGATGCGGCACTACCCCCACTGGGGCCTTCCTGATGCAGCGCCTAGCAAGGAGATGAAGATGGTGTCTACCATAGCCAGGTAAGTACCCTACCACTCTCCTCCTTGGTCCCCTTCTCCCTCCTCCTCCTACCAGCTGAGCTCCACCATAGCCAAGGTGGAAGCTCCTGGCTTCTTCCTTCCAGCAGCGCTGTAGAGCCCAGCGCTCCTCCACCTAGCGCTCCAGCAGCGTGACACCCAACTCGCACACTGAAGAATGAGGCGGAGCTCTTGCCTCCGCCTCTAGATATAGCGGCCTGCTTGCCTCTTGGGCGGTGACTTCCAGGCCGCTCGGCCTCTCCAAGCAACCGGTACCTCCTCCGTTTCGGAGGGAAACATCATTGCAGACCCTGATATTACCCGTACAGGCTCTAGACTCAGACTGGTTGGACTGGTACCGGCCTAGACCTACCCTACCGCTACTGGACTCTAAAAAATGCCAACTTTGTCTTTTTCTGGACCTACCCTACCGCTACTGGACTCTAAAAAATGCCAACTTTGTCTTTTTCTGCTCGGCCTCCAGTACCCCTCACGTCAACTGCAGTGGGGTGCAGTATCGGCCTACCGGCCTACTTGAGTGTTTTTCCGCTACCCCAAGGGCCTCAGGGCCGCTAGCTTCGCCACTTGAGTGTTTTCCCTGCTACAACCCTCAATGCCACGGCCACAGGTAAGTACCGGCCCTACGGGCCTACCAAACAAGCAAGTACCCTTGCGGGTCCCACACACACTCATACCAACAAGCACTCAGACAGGCATGCAGGTCACAAGCACGCACACGCACAGACAGACTTAGAAAACACAGCAGAATGCGGGAATCTCATCAAGGCATCCATTCCATCGGCAGAACTTCAGAAATCAGCAGTGTTCTCAGTCTGTGTTATGACGGGTCATTACATGGCTCTTGTTTTCCTTTTTGGTCTTTATTTTGTTTTCTTTTCAGAGTCTTTTGTAGATAGTGCTGAATCTATTTACTTTTTTTTCTTCTTCTTTTTTGACACATTGAGAAAACAGCAACTAGGAGAAAAGAAAATAGCAACGATAGTCGAAGACAGAATCCAGTTCGGCCAATGGAGACACAGCAGACTATCCCAACGACAGATAGCAGAGATGCGTAGAAGTAGGACCCACCTCACAAGTGTGTCTATGGGCGTTAGATAAGACACCCACACACCCACTTAGAGGAAAAAAGTGAAACGGTTTTCACCCTTGTAGTAGCAGATGCAGATCCCAGGGCTCGATCCCTAGACCTTACCCCACCGTGTACAGTATCAAGTCGACCCTGTGTGTTTGAACCCGCGACCTGTGTCTTGGTAGCTGACTGTGGTCTGTTGTAGATCTGTTTAGCTGTCGGGTCTTGAACCGTAGGTCTGTCGAGTAGGGGTCATAGCTGTGTAGGGGTCGTAGTTGTTGCAACTCTGAAAGGTCAAGGTCGGATCTGCTACAGTCCTGAAAGGTCAAGGTCGTAGCTGCTACAGTCCCGAAAGGTCAAGTCCACAGACTTCTGGAAGGTTTGGAAGTGGCCTTTCGAGCGTTGTTCATGTTAGACCAGAGGCAAGTGGGCAAGTGGGTAGTCCTTAGCCAGCTATACCTATTCCCAGTCTCACTTTTTTCAGTCAGCAAGTACCATGTGGGACTGTGTGCACCCTGGGCCCGGTGGAAAGGGCAGACCAGCGACCAACAGAAGTATAAATCGAGAGGCAGCGTCCAGCCATTCATTCTTTCTGCGTGAGCCATGCGGAAGCGCTGCCCGAGCGTCTTGTGCGAGGTGGTCTGCAGATGCCCGAAGTCGAAGTGGGCTGCGAGGAAGATAGAGCAGCCATCGCTGCTTGTAGCGAGTGGTAGCTGGCAGCCATAGCTGCCATAGCTAGCGATAGGTAGTAGTGAGGGTGTGTGTGTGTGTGTGTGTGATACAGAGTGAACGTGCGTGGGATATCCAAGGAGATCCAGAGTCGAGTGCGTGTGAACAGTCGCTGTGAATACAGAGTCGGGAGACTGAAGTGTAGGCGCTCAGGCTCCATACCTAATTTGAAGCGAGCTTGTATCTGAAATGTGTTCTCCGCCGTAATGTCTCTGAGCTTTGTGTGGGCGCCTGGCGCCATTGTGGATTGTTATCTGTTTGCATGCATGCCGAAAGAGTACGAAGACGGGTCTGATTGCAAAAGAAATAAGGAGGCAGGTGCAGCGACTTCCAAGGTAAGTAACAGAAGTAAGGTATGGGTAACCGACACACACCCACCTACAGAGGAAAGATGAATCAGGAGGCAGGTGCAGCGACTTCCAAGGTAAGTAACAGAATGAAGATATAGGTAACAGGGAAGAGTGGTACATAAGCCGCTCAGAGAGCATCCACCGACTCTAGTTCGCAGAATCTCCCCAGGCTTTACACCACCAGTATATGCCAGCGATCGGTCGCAGGCCCCTTTCGAAGGCCGCTCGTCGTTGATTGTGCACGAGCCTCTAAATTTTTGGAGAGGCTCAATCGGACTCTCAACTTGGCTGGGTGCTTCAAGTGTATACAGTGGGGACTGAAGGCACTTATAATCCTTGGTCAGTCTAGGGCTTAGGGCTTTAGCAAGGCCATCCCTGAAAGGGTCAGAAGGTTGAGGCTTCATACTGCTCTAGTTGTCCAAGTTAACCTGGCAGCCAAACAGCTGAGAGGAGTGAGTTGGGCTGCTAGGGTTTATGGCCTTAGCAAGATTGACAGTAAGTACCCAAGCTAACAGCTCTAGTACTTGAGGTAAGGCGGACAGCCAAGTAGCTGCTAGGGCTCCCATAGGTAAATTACAAATAACAAACAGAGGTAGTAGAAGTCAGACTAGGAACCAACCTCAAAAGTAAGTCCTGCTTCCCTTGGGAAGTAATCAATGTCGTCCACTTGGGCCTCCTAACCGTAATGGGGAGGAGTGTGTGTGAGTATATATTTGTAATCTATTGACTTGCCGGTGAATAGGAACCTGACTGATGCTCCCCAGAATGGAAAGGAGCCAAAGCCGCATGGTTCCTTGAACTTATTTCTTTTTTGTTTCGGAAATAAAACAGGCCCTTATGGTGTTCCATACCCATTCTGGGGAGTCCTCAGATACATCGTACACATCAAAAAATGTAAGGGGTACCCCAAGGATAACCAAAGAACTGTCTAATCAATTGGCAACAGTGGGGTGTTTGGAGTTGTTAGAAGTGGGGATGCTGTTGCCTAGACATGTGTGGCTCCTTCTTCCATGCGGATTCTTATCATTACCAAGCATGGCAATTGGTACATTCTCGGACCTGCACAGACTCTGAGACTATGTCCACTAGTTCCTGTCAGTCCATGACCTGCGGACCACAATGACTTCTTCGCGCCTGCTGTACTTTTGGTACTCTGGCTCCATGGCTTGCTCATTGCTAATGGACAGGTTGAACTGATTGTTTTCTTGCAGGTTGACTGGCAAAGTGATGGAAGTGCCGCAGGAGTACATTGCTGGCTATAACAATGTCATCGCAGTGTCAAATCGGGGTATGGATTACACAAAGGTATGTTGTCTGCTACCGGAGTCATGTCTGTGAACGATGCGATAGTGCTCCCTCATACCAACTGCTCCACCTCGTCATAATTCATAAAGATGTTGGATAAGGTGTTCAGCATAGTACATGTTCCTTTTGCATCAGGCTGTAGTGGGCGGTTAGCTTGTATGCCATCTCCAAGCAGCAGGGAATGAATCCTTGGAAATGCAACGGACTGGCATGAATGCATCCACATATAGCAGATTTATAGCAATACTGGTACCTTGGCTGTGTCACATCACATTGCCCTGGAAATATACCGGGAATGTGTCACTAACGTAGACACTACATACAGGTTCTAGGTTCAAGACTCAGCAAATGTAGAAAAGCAAATTTAGCAAAAGACTTGAAAATTCTCGAACATTTAGGGCAGGTTGCAGGTTCCAGGTTCAAATCCACAGCTACAGCGGTACCCGTTTGTGAACTTGATTTGCATATGTTCTGTGTGTGCCGTAGCTGTGCATATATTTTCTGGTTGTCATGTGGATATGCTTTGATTTATCGTGTCTCATCGCATTTATTCTTTGGCATGTCTAGGTTGCCGAGTCTGTCCATGCTATTATCATGCGGCTTCCAACCAACGAGCTGAAGGAAACATGGATGAGCAACCTGACAATGGCGCTTTACAAAACTTCGGTGATATTTCATGCTCCCATTTCCTCTGAGCCTCCCTGATTGTTTCTTGTCTGGTTCCTGTTCAATTAGTATGGTTCAGCTGATATCAAGTTCAGTTATTAACTTACTGTGTATTCACCTTATGGATGCAGTGGATGACATACATGTTTGACATGCACGATCTTTCCTTTTGGTGTATTTCACTTTGACGTAGTGGATAATCTACTTGTCTGTTTGTGAACTTTGTGTTGGGAAATCAAATGTGCCGATATATTATTCGTTTCATGCCTGATGTTTCAGTGACAATCTGAATGTGTGCGGATTTGCCGCCGATTTACAAGTATCTTACAAGCTACAGGAAATCTATTAAGAAATTCAAATGCAGAGCAGGTGTTTTGCGCGAATATGACACCGTGCAAAACCTTTCTTAGTTTTGACTCTTTTTTTGCAATGAACTCTTTTCTACGAATCTTCAAATAGGATTTTAATTAGCTGTCCAGGGCAAAGCTTGTTCAGGATTCAATTCTTCTGCAAATCTTTTGTTCCCTGTAAATTTCCTGGGATTTCTTTTTTGTTTTATGTGC